TTGTATTTGCCTCAAAAATATCTTTTAGAAGCATTTATTAGAAATATTTTATTTTTTAGCTTCGATAACAAGTTACCAATTGTGAAATAAAAGCAATATCGAACTATTTGATAACAATGTTAAAATTGATAATCACAGAAGATCCTGCTGTATTGTTGAACGTTATTGAGATAGTCACGCAATCGATGTTATTATGAGTAATTTTCAATTATGATAATTAAATTATGTTGGCATAAAAAATACATCAGATAAGAAATGAAAAGTATCGATCTTTTTCAATTAAACATTTTAAATTAATCGACAAATTTTAAATTAATTTCGGACAAGTTGCTTATTTTAACCAAGCTGTTCTGATTTTAACCAAGTTACAGTCATATTAACTAAGTTTTGGGAGCGGTATAGCCAAACTATGGCTCCAAAAATGTACATCCATTAATTATGACGAAATGGTACTTAATAAAAGAAGACTGTAAGTAAACATTGATCCAATCACACTAATTATCATGCTTCGCTTGAAATACAAAATGTCGCAACCAGACATCAGATAACCGGACTTGTCGTACAACCCCCGATCCACGTCGCCGGTCACGTCCACACCACGCAAGACTCTCCTCTCCATCTTATCGCAGAACTCAACTCTGAATCTGGCCATTTCGTTTGGAACTCTACCGGCATTCCATGCGATAAGAATCATTGCCGTTAAAGACGTCACCAGCGTGTATGACGTATCGAACACGTGTGCTTTGTAGGCCACCGAGAAATATCATCTACCACAAACGAACCCGAAACTGCGAGTGACATCCAAAAATAGGTGTTGAACACGCAAAATATGGGAAATGAAAATACGCTTTGAGTCTTTTTCGGAAACTCGACATTTTGAGCTCGCTTTTCTATGAACAACAACTGCATCGCATTGATGAAAGCATGTGGTTTCGTATCAGCGATGTGTTGAGAGGAATTCCGGAACTGAGTGCTGCAAACTTGACAGAGTAAACAATACACAAAAGTTATCTGAAAGCTCAGGGAATAAATCAGAGTGTGCAGCAGCCGTTTGAGGTACTCTAGAGCGATTTCTCCTGATTCGATGTTTAAAGTTAACCCGTACACAAAATAAGGGTGATCACCAATTTCCAGGAAAGTTAAGGGCGTGAAAGCGAAAATCACGGGCAACAGAAGTATAAAAGCAGTCATTATTCGAACTGAACAATGCTTCTCTATGGGTTGACTCAATAGAATTTTCGTTAACATTTTCTGTTGGAGATTAATGGTCACTAATGCTATGAAATTCATTGTGTGCGAAAAACAGAACATGATGGTTATTTTCCAAAGCCTATGATTCGACTTAATATGTTTATAACCCATATACAGCGCATCGAAGTAAGTTAAAAGCAAAAGTAAGCGAATCGCGATTGCTAAAAATAATTCCTTAGTTGTTCGAAAGTCAGCAATAAGGCCACAGTAGTACAAAATTCGATACAAATAATTTTTCTTTGGTATTTTTTCTCTTTGCCGCGATCGTGACATAGTACTGATTAAACTATAGCTAGATGATTAAAGTGTTCGTTTTAATGCTACTGAGATTATCATCACTTAACTATGGCCAAGCGCCTACCCCGTTTTTCATGGTCAGGTTCTGAACCGGTACCGCGATTTTTAAACTTCCATAACACAACTATCGAGAAGACTTAACACTTTTTTTTTCAGATTATCTTACACCTTGTCATATTGAAATACGTTACACTGTTCTTAACTTCCAAGAATCTTCAACAAAAAAAAATATATTGTCCTATTGATCCAATTTAAAATAGTTGATCATCATACTTTTTACATCTACAGTCATCAGTGCTAAAGTACGAAATTTTTTCTTTTTGATGTGGCAGCATATTAACAATTTAAAAAAAAGCCAAGAAAATAAATACAATGTTTTATTATTTTTGCATTGATAAAATTTTATTTCTTTCAATGAGGTTCTTTGATCTTAATATCTTTAGTAAATTCTATTTTGTTCAGTTACTTATGAAATATTGATTTATTGTAATCAATATAATGATTCAATTATAGTGATTGGATATTGTATGTATGGATTTCTGGAGGTATACGTAACAACAAACAAATTAAAATATTGATTTTTTTTCATACTTTTTTTAAAAGTGGTGTTGATAATGCTCCACGGAAATTTTAACTTGAACTGATCTTTACGAAAATAGGTGAGTTAATCATTTATTTATAAAGATACATATTAAAATGAATAGTGTAGAATTTTCAACTGCTTCCTCAATCAAAACTAAAATGTCAATTTTTCAATTGTCAGAGAGGTCAACTTGTTCCTTTTTGCAAAAAAATATTTTTTTAGAGGTAGGTGCGTCTTAAGTTATTTTTAGTTCAATAAATTAAATTTTAAACAATTTTTCCCCCGCAATGTATGAAACACACAAGGCCGTATATAAAATACACCTTTGTTGTAATCATCTCGAGGTAAAACTATTAGGAAGTTGGCGAAAATGTCCTTTATTCTGTTGTGTTTATGTGTTGTTGTTGTTGTTACTAATGCAACTTGCCAATATCAGCAAGCTCAAGTCAGAAGTCTAATTTGAGCTGTGCTTCATCTAAAGTATTAGATGATTTACATACAATTACGTCGAGAAATGCTGAGTCGATCCTTGTTTATTGTTAATTGGTGCATCCCCATATTTTTAGTTTTGATGTTGAGGTCACCAAGGACAATTGTAGTATCTATATTTATGTCGAAATAGCTTTTAAAGTGTTCGTAATTCAAATCATTGTTTGGTGGATTATAAATGATAGCATGGCGTTCGTTAAATTGCATTATAACAGAGTTTTCATCTATATTATCAGTTGCTTTAAGATTGAGATATATAACTTTTGGCGTTGAGGTCACCAAGGACAATTGTATCTATATTTATGTCGAAATAGCTTTTAAATTGTTCCTAATTCAAATCATTGTTTGGTGGATTATAAATAATAGTATGACGTTCGTTAAATTGCATTATAACAGAGTTTTCATCTATATTATCAGTTGTTTTAAGATTATATATGGATCTTGAGATATATATTGCTGAGCCACCACCATAGTGTGTGAGACTATCACGTCGATAAGAGTTGTAATTCAGTATTTTTAACCTCTGACATGGTCTGGCACGAGTCTCACTGATAGCAATTACGTCAGAGGATTTTATCGGACAGCCGCAGTGCCCAGCAACATCTTAGTAACTGGTCCTCTGCAAGCGATGAAACTAGTATATCTATCCTGCTCAAGATGAAAAAGATTTCACAGCACCATGACGTACATCTCCAATGGATTCCATCCCATGTTAATATTAGTGGCAACGAGATAGCAGATAGATTGGCCCAAGCGGGCATTGAGGAAGATATATCCACCGGGTCATCACTTACTTATGAGGAACTTTACTCCAATGAAAAATATAGACAAAAATCAATCTGGCAAACTCCACCTACGCACCAATGGAACACCGCAACATCTCTGGGAATCAATTGCGATCGAAGACTGCCTTTGCCAAATTCTGAACTGGTCACCTAAAATGTCTAACATTCGAACATGGCGCAAAAATTTACTCGACTTGTAAGAAATGCTGTGTCCATCCAGCCTCACCGAAACATGTACTTGAATAGAAAAATTGTGTCCATAGAGGTAGCATAGAAGTTTTTCAATTATTTTATTCAACCTGTGTTGTTTATATAGTTTTATATACTGTCAAAAACTTGGAAGAATTATCACTATACCAAAAAAACAATTTATTATATTTCAGCTTCTTTTTTTTACCGAAGTCCAGAAACACTGGCTCCGATCAGTGTGGCAAAGTTGCTCCGGATTCGACAAATTGTTTCAAAAAACGGTAGAGGATTACGAAATAAAGTCGCAGATTTTTGGTCAATTTTCCATTTTTTTTAAATACCTCAGCTCGACTAACAAGTAACAAAGCGGCGTATTTTATAAGTCTTAGAATTATTTGGAAGTAGTGGTGAGTAAAAATCCACTAAATGGAATTTACTAACCCAGAAATATACATTAAAAGACTACCTACCACTCGAAAATATTTATCCGCTGCCGCTGTCAGGAGCAAATTGGCATCTCTGGTTTGTGGGTGGGTTGAGGGTTAAGAGACCGAGGGTGTGCGGTATGTAAAGTGCTCGACTTCGTGCACAAGTCGATAGGCTACCAAATCAGGGAAGCAGAAGATCAAAACTGTGATATGGCATGTCTTCGAATCAATCTCAGTCATGCTTCCTAGACCATTGTTGCCAATAGCCCATTGTGCAGCTCTAGTGTGACGTAAATAAACAACTACCAATACCAGCTTGGGTTCTCATGGTGTTGCCACTCTTTTGAAAATTATTTTAAACTACTAAAAGAACATATTAATTATTTTCAAAAATGGCAGAAATGCTATGGGACCGAATATTATTTCACATTTGCTATTTGATTTTACTTTTTTTTATACTAATGTATTGAATACACTAATATTAGTTGTCAGATGTATCAGTGGTTATAGCATTTTATTAGGATTCTGCAACATGTTAACAATTAACGTGATTATATTTATTTCTTAAAACAAACCTAGTGTCACTATTTAAAGTGTAAGCTTAAAATTAAATACTTTGCTGGATTTAAATTTAGCTACAACTTTTGTTTCTTAGTTAAAAATAAATTAGCTATCACATTTAAAACTTTTTGACATGACTATTGAAATATATGTACCTACACATGGGCTGATACTTACTCAGAAAAGAGAAAAGAATGGAAGTAAAAATCAAAGATAATATATTTAGTCTCCGGAGAAAAAAAAAGACAGAATCGGAATAAATTTTTCAACCAGATTTTCTCTTCTTTGGAAAAAGCTCGTTTCTTGAGATGGTATAGAAGAATCAATTCGAACACATGAAAACAGTAATAATTTTATTTTTAAATAAAAAAATAAATAATGAAGCTCGATTTGTATCAAATATATGCATCACAGCTTTTACGTCATAAAGGGATTCGTGTAGGATTCCCAGAATCCAGGTTTTGTGGTAGATATCCCAATCCAGTCTGTGGGATACATCTTCTCGTACACAAAATAGTCCCTTACAAAACTTGTGTTTGGCTTTAAAAAGTCTGCGAAGTACACTACCTCACCACCTCCGAGGTACCCACCCCAGAACCCATAGGTACCGTAGCTCATAATGGTGTGGTTGCACTCGGTGAGCAACGCCAGATCATGTCCGGCGCTAGGACTATCCGGCGTTGTCACAATTCCGAGATCGGTGAGATTCTTCCGACACCAATCTCTGTCGTCGCTTATGGCCAAGAAGGTTACGTTGTCGTATTTGAAATTGAAATATTCCATCGCACGTTCGAAATATTCTCGGTCCACCTCCCTTCCTTCGTAACCTCGTAACCAGCCTCCTCTTGAATGGGAAAGATAATCTCCTCTTCTGACATGAACCTGTTGGAAATATCATTAAACCATTTTAAAAGTCGTAATAAAATATATTTCATTTCACTAGGAGGCTTCCCCCCCTGTTCGCTGGCTCTCCCCAACCCCCGAAACTGCTTTCGCAGTTCATTTCGGATTGCTTCGCAATCCAATGCTCGCTTTGCTCGCTCATTGGATACGCTCTTAACGTCTAGCTTTCGTATACTTTTTTGAATACTGAAGTTCCGAAAACTTTTCACTGTAGAAAATTCTACACCTGTACATTTCAATATTAATTTGAAATTGCAAACAGTTCACATATTTTTCTTAATCACACTATTCTAAATTTCAGTTGTTGAGAAAAGTAACTGTTGTAAGTTTTGTTTTAAAGTCTTTCCCACTATTTCATGTTATAAAAGAATATGAAATAGTAGTCTGAATAGCAGATAGAGATAATTTCTTTAAAAACACATTTGTTAATTTGGGCATTTGGTGATACAACACTTATAGAATTGAAGGATTTGTTACGTCAAGCGCTCAGGTATCTTAATTTTGATCTAGTTGCGCTTCTATGTCATTTTGATTTATGTTGCTAAGTTAACTATCAAAAAATTCGATGGCTGGCAACAGCATTTTTATTTTTTAAGTTTCTTATTTTTATTTCTTTTAGAATTCGTTCCTTTTTTAGCGAAATGTTTTTTAACCTAACAGAATTCTTTGCCGGCTGTTTTCTCTGTAAATGAAGAAAATAAAGTAAATATTTAAGTGTAGTGAAAAGAATCTTATTTAGTTGTACAAAGCACTTCAGCCAAAATTTGGGAGTCACGTAAGAGAATNGCACGTTCGAAATATTCTCGGTCCACCTCCCTTCCTTCGTAACCTCGTAACCAGCCTCCTCTTGAATGGGAAAGATAATCTCCTCTTCTGACATGAACCTGTTGGAAATATCATTAAACCATTTTAAAAGTCGTAATAAAATATATTTCATTTCATTATCGGTGTTAAGCATACGACCACCTTTAGATGAATGCTATCAATGTTCAACTCCATAGCCTTGTAATATTGAACCCAACCCAGGAGACAAGAAAATTCCTGGATCAAGCATTCGAATAAACTGACCTTCGTAGAGAACTTTTTTTGGAACTAACCCGTAATTTACGTTACAGGGAGAGAGAAAGAAAAACTCTGACCGTTGGCTGCATAGCAAATAGATTCTATCCCATGATTCATTCACCACTGAGAATATTTCATATATCAACACAGTCAGAGGCAGAATGGTATTGAAAAGTCGACCTGATTCTGAGTTTGCAACTATAAATCTTCAACTCCGTAGCCTGGTAATTTTGAACTCATTCCAAAAGAAAAACACTCTTGAATCAAGAATTAAGACAAACTCGCTTTTTCGGAGGACATATTGAGTTAAACTCACCACACTTAATAGTTACACGGCGAGAATAACCACGGAAGTTTCCACTGTTTGCGTGACGACATACTGACTTTTACCCATGATCTGTTAACCACTCAGTATATTTTACGTCATAATGATTGTCGAAATTGTATCAGAAATAGCATTCAAATCAATCAGATATCATCACAACCACTTCATTGTGAGGCAAGTACCTGATTTATTTGTACCTATTATAATAATATTTTTTTAAAAAAGAAGTTTTTAAAAACTACTTTTTTTCAAATGTACTTAGAAGAAAATATTTTACGTTAGATTTAAAACGAAAGTTGTGAGGCTATAACTTTTGAAGCGAAAGCAATGTGCTCCACGTTTTCTTTTTTCTCCTATTAGCAAAAATAAAATCATTTTTCTTTTTCAGGGCAAAGTGTTCGGGTTTGTTGGCAGGGCGCTGGACTCACGTTCGTGAGAACAGGATTTCAAATACAGCCGGCCAAAGACACCTTGTGAATGGTGACTAGTGTGCGTTAAATCTATTGGGTCACAAAGTCCTCCATGTTCCCATAACAAATTATATCTCTGGGGTTTCTGAATTGGAGATGGATCGTTCTCCAGTTCAGGTCAAAATTTCGATCTGTGTATAAATGAATAGGTCCGCCCTATAAAACGGGTGTGACATATGAGTGTGAAAGAATTTGAATTCTTGGCCATAGATGGCGCCATTTAAAAACAAGGGCAATCACATCCCCAGCTCCTCAATAGCTTACGACAACAACAACTAAATTCGTTTTCAGCAAACGAGTAAATGCAATATGTTTTATTATTTGGGCTTGTAGGCTTAGCTCTCTATTGAAGTATTATGTACAACATTCGCATACAAAACATAAATATTTTCTTACAAATACAATTGCTATTACTAATTTAACCGTCATTAACGATTAATTTACTTGTAGGGGTCTAGGCACCTTGTTCGCTACTGCTCACCGGACCCGGTGATCACTAAGCGATCATCGAAAATTTAAATTATTCACTTAAAATATATGCACTAAAAAGTAATATGTTCTTTTCTTACGCTTGAGCCCCCTCCCCGTCCGAACACGATTCTATTAAGATGGAACATAAATAATATTTTTAAGTAATCATTTTTTTTAAATAACATTGAAATTAAGCAAATTTAGTGAGTTTACAACCGTCATTTAGTATTTTTATTTACCAAATAGACTGATTAAATACAATTTGTGCATGCATTCAAAAATGCACCGATAACAAGGGCTGACTGTGTTACACCATTATCTTTTTAAGTTAAACTAAAAGCATGTGCTAAATATGAGCCAATTATTTTAACAAAAATTGGCAGATAAATTTTTTAAATGTGTGTTTGTTTGTTTTTTTAATAGAAAGAAAAAGGAAAATTTATTTTTACATAACAAAAAATTCAACTGTGAAATTTTTTTTCATTATAAATTGAATGAAATTGGTCTTTAAACTAAACTTTTAATCGAAAGTATGTTACGCTTTAGCTCAATAAATTCAATTCCCAACCTGCTTGTTTAAAACTCTCTTACCGTCGGACTAGCCATGAGAGGTTTGCGTGATTTTTTTCTGTGTGTAGCGCAAATATGTGTTTATTTGACAGAAAAACTTTTCATAAAAGCAAAATTTCTCCTTGTTTGGTGCTCGATCTACGAGTTTGATTTTTTGGGGTTCAAAATGAATTCAATACGAAGATGGAATCGTAACATTTACGATTTCAAAACTACGATATGAATTTTCTGTTCAACATTAGTTATACGATAAAAATTTTACATCGAGTATCGAAAAGTTCTCGAATGTTCCTCGAATATCGGAAAGTTGAAGAGAATGTTCTAAAATAGATTTCATTGCATGCAAATTATGTTATAGGTTTGGATGATTAAAAACTAAGCCCTGATAGTTAAGGCATTTTTCATTTAATATAACGTCATATCAGTAAAACATTTTTAAGGTATCCTACATTTAACAGAAGTAACATTAAATTCAATTAAAAATTTAAGCAAATCAAATGACTGATGAAGTGATTATAAAGGTCTCTGTTGCCAGCAGTTTCCACTCATAGCAAAGTTTTACGTTACCATTCTACTCTGCTCAAAAAAATGAGGGGAGCAAGCAAACAAGTTATGAAACCTTTGCGTGATAGCCATGCATGAGCATAAAATGGAGAATACAGGTTTAACTAAGCGCAATACATGAAAAAAGAAGCTAAAAACAATTACATGGAAACTTTAACTATACGGAATGGTATAAAGAGAGCCGTGGTGGCTCAGGGGATAGAGCGCTAGCCTCCCAATGAGGTGAACCTAGTTTGAATCCCAGCAATGGCTGAGCGATTCACATTCCGCATGCGGCTCGCATCGACTTCAGTACTGACGTAAAATATCCTCAGTAATAGATGGATCATCATGGGTTAGTCTCATTGCCATAAGGCTAACAGTGGAAGGTTTTCATGGTTTTCTTCTCCATGTAACACAAATGCGGGTTAGTTCCATCAAAAAAGTCCTTCTCGAAGGCAAATTTCTCCCAATTCTTCCCTTGTCTTCTGGATTGATTTCAAAGTTACAAGGCTACGGAGTCGAACATTGGTGGTCGTAAACCTAAAAATTGGATCGGCTCTTCAACGATGGTCATAATATATATATATAGATACTTAGCTAAAGTTCATACTTTTNTATATATATATATATATATATATATATATATATATATATATATATATATATATATATATATATATATATATATATATATATATATATATATATATATATATATATATATATATATATATATATATATATATATATATATATATATATATATATATATATATATATATATATATATATATATATATATATATATATATATATATATATATATATATATATATATATATATATATATATATATATATATATATATATATATATATATATATATATATATATATATATATATATATATATATATATATATATATATATATATATATATATATATATATATATATATATATATATATATATATATATATATATATATATATATATATATATATATATATATATATATATATATATATATATATATATATATATATATATATATATATATATATATATATATATATATATATATATATATATATATATATATATATATATATATATATATATATATATATATATATATATATATATATATATATATATATATATATATATATATATATATATATATATATATATATATATATATATATATATATATATATATATATATATATATATATATATATATATATATATATATATATATATATATATATATATATATATATATATATATATATATATATATATATATATATATATATATATATATATATATATATATATATATATATATATATATATATATATATATATATATATATATATATATATATATATATATATATATATATATATATATATATATATATATATATATATATATATATATATATATATATATATATATATATATATATATATATATATATATATATATATATATATATATATATATATATATATATATATATATATATATATATATATATATATATATATATATATATATATATATATATATATATATATATATATATATATATATATATATATATATATATATATATATATATATATATATATATATATATATATATATATATATATATATATATATATATATATATATATATATATATATATATATATATATATATATATATATATATATATATATATATATATATATATATATATATATATATATATATATATATATATATATATATATATATATATATATATATATATATATATATATATATATATATATATATATATATATATATATATATATATATATATATATATATATATATATATATATATATATATATATATATATATATATATATATATATATATATATATATATATATATATATATATATATATATATATATATATATATATATATATATATATATATATATATATATATATATATATATATATATATATATATATATATATATATATATATATATATATATATATATATATATATATATATATATATATATATATATATATATATATATATATATATATATATATATATATATATATATATATATATATATATATATATATATATATATATATATATATATATATATATATATATATATATATATATATATATATATATATATATATATATATATATATATATATATATATATATATATATATATATATATATATATATATATATATATATATATATATATATATATATATATATATATATATATATATATATATATATATATATATATATATATATATATATATATATATATATATATATATATATATATATATATATATATATATATATATATATATATATATATATATATATATATATATATATATATATATATATATATATATATATATAAATATATATATATATATATATATATATATATATATATATATATATATATATTATAAAGAGCATGAATTAATGTTTCAAGGTAATAATTTGAAAACATATAGTAAATGACGAAAAACTAATTATACGGAGATGACGCAAAATGTTTATTATGGTGTATGGTCCCCCCGAAATTGCTAAGATTGCCGCGCAACTATTTTGCATGGATGCAATGAAATTATCGATGAGGCTTTGGGGAATACTGTTCCACTCCTAACGAAGTGACTCCAAGTCTTGGACAGTAACAAGAGGCCTTGCAGAAACGCTTCGTCCGAGTGCGCCCCAAGCAGACTTCAGACTTTCAGCTTCTAGACAGTCCTCCACGTGTGAAGCTGTATGTGGTCTGATTGTGTATTAAAAGAAAAAAATGGTCAATGTCTGCAGCATACGATACGACATGGTGTTTGAAGATCTCGTCTGCATACCTTTCAGCAGTTAAATAGCCATTCTGAATGAAATACAGGTCAGAATGTCCACCTATGCTGATTTCAGCCCATACGATAAAATCACCCCATCTGCAATGTGATCCTTTCTAAACAAATATATAGGGTTATATAGATTGCACCTATTTCACCACACTAAACACGTTTGGTGCCACACTCTGAACTGAATCAGGACTTGACTGTAAACAGCACTTGACTCCAATCACTTCGCATGCAATCTCGATCCTCAACAGTTCACTTTCTTCGGACAACACGGTGCCTGTCTTGCAACGGAATACACACCATTTGGCCACCCTCATGAAATCTGTTTCGAATTGTTTACCGTGATACCCTTCGTCCTGCTGCCAAAAGAACCTGTCTTTGAATTAGTATGGTGTTGGCTGTTCTATCTCGACAAGCTGTCAATATGGAGTCATTATTTGCTGTGGTAGAATGTGGACGACCTTTTCCTTCATGACGTCAACCATGCCCTGTTTCTCGGAATCAATTCCAGTCTTGCAATGACGCTTCTTGCGTCTTCAACAGCATCCACTACACTTCGTTGTGTTTGCCTGCATTCCAGTCTCCCGATAACACGCCAAGGCATGAATTCTGGTAGATTCACGTTGTCGTGATATTTTTAAGTTTATTTTCCTCAAAACAAAAGCGGAAAGGTTGATTTTTACTCTGAAATGTCGAAAGACAGCAGCTTCTGCGAAATCAAGATTTCTGCACTTAAATCCTTTTTTTTTTCGTTTTTATCGTCATGAACTTTTATTTGCATATGAAATTTTCTTCTGCTGTTTTCTGCAACACTTAAAACTATTTATATGTTGTTTTGATGTAAGTATGAGAAGATATATTTGTGTAATTTCGTTAAATCCATGTGCTCTCCTATTTTTTTTGCACCCATAAACATTTACTGACCGCTGATCCTGCACCTTGTTGTTCTCTATGTCAAGTCGACCAAACTATTTAGCATGTTTTAACCAACTGCAAACGATTCGAGCAGTTGAGGAAAAAACTCTTTGGCATTTTAGCACCCTGATCTTATATCCCTAATCGGTGACCCTCTAGATCACAATCTTATTACATTTGTTTAAAAAAAAAAAGAACTATACTCTCTGCTTTAAAAAGAAAGTCTTTTCTTTTAACCTAGTGGCTGGCACAGTATAGCCATGTCTGGCTCTTGCGCCAATAAACTTTAATCAACCAACTTAATTTTTTTGAGCAGTGTAGTAGCTACATCCGAATAGTCATCTCACATTCTTTTTAGAAACTATTTTCAAAATTTCTTACTTTATACAAAAATCGAATGATTGTGTCGCAGTTTTTCATTGTTGTCCGTGTATTTTTATTGGTGGAAAAATAACGTGGTAGGATCCAGTTTTCCCTCATTCACTTCCATATTGTTTTGTTTGTCATTAGCCTAAAACAAATCATAAAGGTATTGTTTTTCTATAACATTTTTGCACCCCTAATTTATAGCTATTTTGCTGTACTGCTATCATTACTCTTTTAATTCGTGTGTTTAAAACATAGAGAATTATTGTTTCTTTTTTTTATTATTATTATAATGTAATTCTGCTTAGTTATTTAGAAAGGTGGCCTAATCTCATTAAACATTTCACAATTATATTTTTTGTGCAAATAACATTAATGTACTGTTATAAACTATAGTTAAGACATCAGTTAAATGATTTAGAACTTAACGATCAGCTGCATGAACAATGTGATGCAAACAAAAACTGTATTTAATATATCCACCTGTATTGGTAAGCAAAAATATTAAATTACTATTGTGAACTCATAAAACAATATAATGTTATAAAAATATAAATATTATGGTAAAAAATGTTTCCTGGGAAAAATTACTTCTGTTCACCAATAGATCTAAACATTTATAATAATAACAGAAAATAATATTTGAACTGAGAGTGAGAAGTGGAAGTAGAAGCGTAAGTCAACAGAATTCTTTGTAGTACATACATGTTAAGTGAATAATTTCAGTTTTTGTAAAAAAATTTCTGCCAAGAAACAACAATTATTGCATCATCGGGATTGGTGAGCGGCAGCGAATAGGGGGCGTAACCCCCCCCCCAGTTCTTAAATAAAACAAGAACTTGATGCTTGACTTTTTTTAGTTCGTGTAACAAATTTTAAGAGAAATAAAAGCTTGCATTATAATTGGGAGCGGCTATAGTCAACTAAATTAAAAATTTTGTCTCCTAAGTTATTCAGTTACTTTAAGGCAAAAATGTCTTAACTTACTCCCACATAAACTTTGGTGTGGGGTCTCTGCCTCTTGATCCCCCAGAGGACGTCCTGAGCGTGTTTCCTGTAGGTGGGATTGAATCGGAAGACTTCTCGAATCTCTTTCCTCACGTGATCGAAGAAAGTGTAGGAGGTAGGGTAGACGTTCCCCTTGATGATGTTCGATGTAATCGGAATATGATAATCCTTTTCCTTTAACCAATTTCCAATACTGTAGGGATTGATTTCAACAAACGTTTTCTCATTAAACTAAAGCAGAAAAACAAAGAAGAAACAAGCATGAATAATTTTTCGTTTTACCCTTTGCAAGAAGAATTTAATCATAAAATTTAGTTAACAGAAAGGTATAAAACTGTTAAATTAAAGATGAGCAGAGTAAAACTCCAGATTAAATAAAATTTACTTAACAAAAAGATTTCAAAATCATGACATAGTTACTTGAACAGCATCAATCATATCACACAGATGTAAATAGAACTTAAAAGTGAAAAAACAATTACTAGATCACAGAATACAATTACAAATGATTACGTCTATTTTTTATTATATTGCCACAAAAAGCCAAGTGAATTGGATACCTTTAAATGATGTCATCGTTAGTTAATCGTGACATGTGTCGATTCAGAAGCCAATCATAAACATAATTAAATATCTCATTTTTGGAAGAGGTACCTCTATTTGAATGATTAAGCATACTGTATTCAACCACTGGAGACAAATGATCACGAAAATGCAAAGGATACAAATTTGAGAAATGGTCGAGCAAGATTACATTTATAAGGAATCATGAATATTTCGATGTAAGTGAATTTTTTTTTATCTATACCATTATTATTAAAATCATTATAAGAATAGCACTAGAAAACCTACTAAACTCAGAATCCAATTCACAGGATATCCTAACTCTCAATATTTCTTTTGGCTGTCTCTTAGTCATGCAGTGGACTGATCGTAAAGACACAGTATAACACCGAAGACAAGCTTCACTGGCTGCTGTCAGTAAGCAGGTGGATGACCATTTTAATCAACCTGCTTAGGGGCAGAGAGTGCACGGTATCGACCCTCGTTAACTGTCCTACCGCAAAGTGCTTGACTTTACGCGCAAGTCAACGGGGCTACCAAAGCAGGGGAGCAGAGGACCAAACTTGCGATGACATGTCTTCGGATCATCCTCAGGGATGTTTCCCAGACCGTCTCTAATAGCCCAGTGTACCCAACTCACCCACCTTCAATTGTTGTTCGGAGATCCTCAATGCAATACTTGCAAGTTTTTACTTGCAATCCATGCTATTTTAATCATTTGCCCTTATTTTAACCAACATCGCATCACCTATTTTGGTAGATCCATTTTATGTATAAAAGACTTGTTAGATGAAACCCAACATATTTGCTATTGGTATTTTAAATTGTATATAGCTGTTTTATTGTATTTACAATTTTATCAAAACTTTAAACAACTTTTGTAAGTTTCTACCTATGCAGTTTTACTAGTAATCGCCATGCTATCTCTCATCTATGTACTTTCCGAACATAAATGATGCACTTTCAAAACCGTGTTCAAACCTGTTTCAAAACCTGTTTCAAAACCGAGTGTTTGGAGCAGCATGTCCTTTTTGGACCTAATGGCATTAAACCATACTTTTAATTCAATTCAATTACAATAGCCCATTGTGCAGGTCTAGTGCGACGTAAATAAAGTACCTACCTTTGCTGCCTTTTGGATTTTTAATTTTCTATTGGCGAGCGAAATGGGCTTCGTGGCGCAGAAATCTCTACCTATGGCAACACTTCACATTCTTTCACCCTCAGCAATAGGAGAGGGAAGTACGTAAGTTTCAAATAGATTAAAAACTTTTGAGTTTCGGGAACTATATGGAACTGAAAACTACATTAAACATAGTTCTAAATGAAAATGTCGCTATAATTTTAAAAAATAATTTTGACAAGTAATAATCGTTGTGCAATCCTATACAACTGAGAAGAGAAGGAGAGGGAGGGTAAGGACGTGAAACCGGTTTTTTTTCAGGGAGGCGTATTCTAGCGTTGCGATGGCGAATAGATTTTAACTACTTATTTTAACCAATTGATTTCAAATAATGGGTAAGGGCAACACTATTTTATTTCTATTATACTGCTTTTGGACCCCTTTATGTTAATTTTACTTTTTGCGTTTTTCGTTATATCTCCAGAACTTTGTAAGCTAATTGAAAAGTGTTTGTGCACAATTGTGAAATTCAATTATCCAAGCTTAATTCCACGCAAAAAATAACTTTTAGTAAATATTTATTATTTTATTTAATAATGGTGAAAAAAAATTTTGAATTTTAAGGTACACATTTTTGCATCATTCTGAAGAATGTAATTTTAAATGACAAAATACAAAACTTGAGTAAAATCGGTTAAATAGTTCCTAAGAAATCGCCATCGCTAGAGACAAACACAGTATACGCCTGGGTCAAAGGCAAGTTAATGAGGTGGTGTGGAAAAATCACTTGAATATTAATTCAATTTTTGCAAACAGTGTGAGTCAACGTGTTGACGTTATTCAAAGTGGCACCCGAAGAGTGGCACACAAGTGGAATAGAAGTAAAGACGAACAGATAACCAATCGGTAACTCGATGTAGATCACGTGTTACTCAATTTACAACTCAGGTTCAGCAAAGATTTAGAGCAGATCAGACCAGTCAGTGAACCACAAGAGAGCCAAAGATGAGAGAGATGACGAGAACCAGCTGCTCACGGAGAACCACAATCCTCAAAGACAGCAGGCAGAAGAATCACCAGAACTGTCAGGGACAGATCCACCTTAGAGTAACAATCATCAAGAGAGCAAGTCAGTAAGATCATCAGATCACGTGACCCGACGCAGATGGACCATCAGTAAGACAGTTGAACTAAATCATTCAGGAGCGGTGATCAAGCAGACAATATTCAGATTAAGGCAATTCATTAATGCAAAGGAATCTTGAGATGATGTTGAGTCAATGAATGCACCAATTATCGAAGGGAATCAAATCCAGTGATGACGTCAGAAATCAATTAAGCACAAGTTGACATCCATCACCAGAGGTAAACTGTTTACACACAGATCATTGAAGACATCAGCTGTTGACAATTAGTATCAATCAATACTGCACAATCAAAACAAGTATTTCAAAATCATCAGTGAAAAATCGAAATATGCAGTGAAGTAAAATAAAGCAGGCAAAAGATTTAGTTGACAGTAAAATTCACTACAGCATGAAAAATGCCAATTCAAATACGTACAAGCATAGATCATTTCTGAAAATTGTCGTCTGTTGAATCACAATTTAAGTAGTCACAAATTATACTAATCTTCCAAAAAGGATAAACTGAACAACACTGAAGTAGGTAATGGATTAGGGACAGCTTGTGTTTTGCAGCCATATTGAATAAATGTACTTCAGCACGTATATAACGTGAACATTTTTAAACAAATTTCGCTCACCATTAACATTTTTAAATCGACGTAAAGCTCATGACAAGATGAACAATAATGTTATTTAAAATAAGCACTAATCAATGATAACATTAAAATAACATTTGTAGAAATCACTTAACAAACGCAGATCACCTACACTCAGCTGTTGCCATCCCCCATGAGCTTAAAGGTAAAAACATTTTTATTCAGCGTTCCTCATTCTATATGCTATTTTATTTTAATGTAAAGTGGTAGCTAGGTACTTTATTTACGTCGCACTGGAGCTGCACGGCGACTGTCTGGGAAACATCCCTGAGGATGATCTGAAAGTAAGCCATCGCAATTTTAATCTTCTGCAATGGGGATGGTTCCCCTGCTTTGGTAGCCCGACGACCTGGGCACGAATTCAAGCACTTAACGGTAGAACGAGGACCGCTACCGTGCACCCTCGGTCCCTACGCATGTCGATCAAAGTAGTCACTCACCCGCTTACTGATCGCAGCCAGTGGTGCTTGACTTTAGTTTTCTACTAGTAGCCGTGTCTTTATTACGAGAATTTCTCCCATTACGACCAGTCCACTGCGGGACTTTTAATGTAAAGTGATAGTCAATACTGAAAAGATTAATTTCCGCAATATTTTCTATTTTATAAATCAGGATTATACTCGAGAATATCACATTTACTGACGAAGAAACACTTAGTTGAATTACCCTGTTGAGCATTAAATAAACAAACATAACGTCATTTAAAAGAAATTCTGTCTCTGTGTCAGTGTTGTGGACACCATCTCAGCCTACCACGGCAAAGATTAGAATTCAATTTTTCGGGGTAATTGCTGATTGAAATGCAATTTCTCCGATCGTGTATTGGAATGCTACGACGACAATTTTATTTCTTATGAATTGTTGCTATGGATGGAGTGTAAACAATAGCAAACTCCTTAAAATCAGNTTAAACGAGGACCGATAACGTGCACCCTTGGTCCCTAAGCATGTTGATCAAAGTAGTCACTCACCCTCTTACTGATCGCAGCAATGACTTCGGTGTTCTACTAGTAGCCGTGTTTTTACGAGAATTTTGCCCATTACGACCAGTCCACTGCGGGACTTTTAATGTAAAGTGATAGTCAATACTGCAAAGATTAATTTCCGCAATATTTTCTATTTAATAAATCCGGATTATACTCGAGAATATCACATTTACTGACGAAGAAACACTTAGTTGAATTACCCTGTTGAGCATTAAATGAACAAACATCACGTCATTTAAAAAAAAATTCTGTCTCTGTGTCAGTGTTGTGGACACCATCTCAGCCTAAGATGGCTAAGATTACAATTCAATTTTTCGGGGTAAATGCTGATTGAAATGCAATTTCTCCGATCGTGTATCGGAATGCTACGACGACAATTTTATTTCTTATGAATTGTTGCTATGGATGGAGTGTAAACAATAGCAAACTCCTTAAAATCAGAAGAAATTTAGAAAACTTCCGGAGTATCCTTCCGCTTTTATAATTATTCGATGCCATGAAAGAGGTTTAACAGCTCCACTTCACTTCCTCACAAAGGGAAGATGTGACGAGCTGTCTTTTGCTCTAAGCCAAGCAATTCAATACAATTTTTTTTTTTTTATCTTAAGAATAAGCATGAACTCACTACAGGCGTCTGGATGTCAAAGTACTTGGAAAGGACTTCGTAGTTGGAGGTCTTTATCTGCATATGTCGCTTGTTCAACGCACTCAGTCCAAAGAGGGTTGCATAGGTGAACATCTGGTTGCCCAGTCGGCCCTGATTTGTGTGTATGGTCAGATCGAGTGCATCAACGAGAGGTGGAGGAGCTCGAAAGGTTTCCCCTTCTGTAAAAAAAAAAAGTCATATACTCCGTGATATTGTAAAAATTTCAAAATAATAAGCGAGGAGCAGATTGCTAGAAATGAGCAAGCTATTCTGACAATATGTATTCTGAATATATTTTTAGCTACAGCACAAAGTATGCAGCCATAAAAACTAAACTGATTTACCCATCAACCAGCCTTTGAAAAGTTTATAATGACTTATTAAGTTAAATTAGCATGAGATATCTATCTTAAGAGCCATTATTTTGAAATTCAGACAATGTGTGATAGTTGTATTTTTTGATTGGCTTAATTTTTTTTTATATTGAAGTAGGCAGTGAGAAACAAAGTTAGATCTCCTAAAAAAGTTTTTTCTTGGACCGTGTTGATATCATAGCTAAAACATAACTTAAGCATTTTGACCTTACAGCACATTTGTAAATCTTCAGTTCATCAGGACTGGAAAAATCATTGGAATACGCAAAATAATAATAAATTACATGAAATTTATCCTAATCTTGATAATTGTAAGATCATTTACTGTTGATCGCAAAATACAGACTTTAATTAATAGACTACGTATCGGTCATACTCGTTTTACGCATATGCATTTAATGAAAGCCGAACCTGCACCCAGCTGTACTCTGTGTCAAGTTGACATTTCAACTAAGTTAACTGACTGCAGACGATTCAATTATTTGAGGAAGAAACTTTTTGACAGATTTTATCCCGATCTTTCATCCCTACTTAGTGACCCCATGCATCACAATCTCATCAAAACAATAGGACTGTATTCATTAATATAAGTAAAAGTTCAATTCTTTTACCTATAAAACTGGCGCAGTATAGCCACTTCTGGCTCTTGTGCCAATAAACTTTAGCTAACCAACCAACGTAAAAAAGTTTTCCCTTCCTTACAAAAAATATCGTAGTTCAAGGTATGTTTGAAGTAGTTTATCTATAAAAAGCAACAACGCACTAACGTTCTGTTTTGTATTAATATATCGTTGCCTAGTTATGAACATGTCCATGGGGGCATTGCGACTTTTCTGTTTGATGATGCATCATAGTTATTGAAAAATGTCATTTTTTGGCACTTTTCTACCGTGAAAATCTTGGTTAAGTAACAATCCCCCTACTCATTTTTTTTTTATTTACTGAACATGAAAGGTCACTCTAAGGATAAGCTCTGTGATCCAACACTTGTCCGGGTTATTGAAGCTTTTAGTAAATATAACCATTCAAAATTTAAAAAATGCGAAATCCATATTTTTTCAGATTTATCTCAAAACGGCATCGTCTCGCAACAAAATGAAGTATACCATTTTTTAGGTAATCTACTAACAGGTGGAAAAGAAAGATGAATGGGACCTCTCTCGCGTCTCATTTACGAGATTCTGCGAAAGTGCAATGATAGATATCACTTCCCTTTTTCTGGTAGAACTGACGGATCTTCCAAATTAGAAATGGAAATATTAATAAATGATGGTATAAAACTACTGAGCCTCAGTACGGTGAAGATCAATGTGATGGAGAACATTGTCGCACAGCTTACTTGAATTTTGGAACGAATATCAGCTAACGCCACAGAGCTAAAAGAGAGCTTATTGTATATGGGAGGGATTGAGTGTTGGCGATTGAGATCAATATTACCCATTTTACATTTCAAAATATTAGTACATGTCATTCTGCAGAAGCCACAGATAATGGTTTAAAAGTATGGCAGTACTTTGGTATGGGTTCTGGGAAAAATATTTCTCTAAATAAAGAGGCAGTTCTCTCTGCTGGATATAATGTATATATGTTACTCTTAATGACCGAAATAGGTGGTTGTTGACAATCACATAGTCGCTTTGGTGAATGTTCGAAATATATACTAGATCTGGTGAAGTGCCACTGCCCGGTATGCCCTACATCAATGTTTTTTTAAGGTCACGTGCCACTGCCCGGTATCCATTTCACCGGCAATCCGAACACTGATATTTCTCCTAATCTATACTCATTAGATATTAAAATATCGAATAAATATAATAATAAATTAATATCAAATCGGATATAACAAATATTTCGAACCGACTACGTGATTGTTGACATTCACTGGTGAAAGTCGACATTCTCCTGATGTCGGTCATTCACGGTTACAACAAAACTTAACTTTTAACTGATGGTCGTAAAATTTAAATTCGAAAAGAACACTTTTTGTTTCATTCTGCTGTTAAGNATATGTTACTCTAAATGACCGAAATAGGTGGTTATTGACAATCACATAGTCGCTTAGGCAAATGTTCGAAATATATACTAGATCTGGTGAAGTGCCACTGCCCGGTATGCCCTACATCAATGTTTTTATAAGGTCACGTGCCACTGCCCGGTATCCATTTCACCGGCACTCCGAACACTGATATTTCTCCTAATCTATATTCAGTAGATATTAAAATATCGAATAATTATAATAATAAATTAATATCAAATCGGATATATCAAATATTTCGAACATTCACAGGTGAAAGTCGACATTCTCTTGAATTCGGTCATTTATGGTAACATAGACATCATCACAGCAGCACACATTAAATAAAACTTTCAGTGCAAAAACAAAAGAACAGCGTGAACCAAAAACAGCGTGAGTTAAATTTCATAATGTAGAGCAATGCATTTACAGCGGTCAACATAACTGTATAAAAATTATAACTTCGTATGATAAAATCAACCTAAGTTTCTTGAACACTGTGCAAGGATATAAACTAACTACCATCAAGTGAATCTGATACATGCAAGCTGTCTTGCTAATGCATCGACTAAAAAACTCAATGAGAACATTTTATCTGGATTATTCTGGGAAGTTTGGGCTCTTCCTGAAAGAAAAAATGTTAGATTTACAAACGAACAAAAGGAGCAAAAATTTAATTTTGGGAAGAAATTACTAGTCAGAAACAAACTTCAGAACAAGTTCAGTATATGTTACGAGAAAGTGTTCGAAGGAAAATAACGATTTCATCCTGAAGAGTATAATCTTTCAAAATCCGATCCTCATTTGTTAGATTTTAAAGAAAAAAGATGGAAGATCTTTCAGCTACTTCGAATACACCAATTCAAGATATCAATTTTGATAATGAAGTTGACACAGAAGTCTACGAAATTATGACCTCAATTTTCGACAGCAAAAGGGATTTCAGTGTCACTCACACTGACTGGGGTTACTGTTTCTTCTGATACGAAGTGGTTGTCGTCGTAGGCTATTAAGGCAAGGTGTGCGATTTTTCTTGTTTTCCAGTGGAGCCATCTTTAGCCAAGACGCAAAGCTGACACATTTTTTTCTTTAGTGTTAAAAAACAGTAAAAGGTAAGAAGACAATTTTAAGCATTTTTCACTGCTTAAAGCTCTAGATATATAGCACTAGAAAATTATATAGCTAATTTCTGAGGATTTTGACTGACAAATGATTTGATTCAATTAGCGGGTTGCTACGACATATTTTCGTTATAAACTAGTTTGTTGTAAAAATTTGTATGCAAAATTGTTTATTGTTGCTTTTGCTACGTCACGAAATTGTATGATTAAACTTTAACAAACCGTTCATATTTATCAAAACCAGTTGAGTAGATATAGAATTAATTTTGATTTACTCAAGAGATTTGATTGGATAAAAAAGAAAATCTCAATCAGTACAAAATTTATTCTAAACTCATTAAGAGCACCCATTCCATTAAGAGTATGTGTTCCAAAATGGGTCCTAACACTTAAGGAAAAACTTTTACACACTTCCCTTCAACTATGTGTTCTCAGATCAGTTTAAACTGTCTTCTACAATAGCTATCTAGATGAAGAAGTAGATTATAGTTTGTCTACGGTAAGAACTCCCTCCGCCACAAAGTCGGAGGGTGTCTGCTGCTAACAAGAATAGCTCATTTCAGAAAGAGTATCTTCTTTTCACTCTAGGGCTAACACAGTAAACTGAAGAAAAAGATTCAATTTCTCTCCCCGATCCGAGCCAACACCTGTTCCGAACAATGACCCCACACCTCTACTTGAAATAGTTATACCTCGTTACCATAGTCACCGCCATGGGTTCAAACGAATGGCTAGGGGTTTTCCTACATTAGACAAACTGTAGAGTCCTTTTCAGGGGAAAAAGTTCTCGTAGCTTTTGTGGAAGCAAAGGGAGAAGTAAACAGCGAGCATTTTGGAAGCTGATGCAAGGAAAGTTTGAGAAAGGGGTGGTGAGGTGGAGAAAGGGAAAACTGGAGCCAAAAGCTGGTTAACAGCCGTAACAGAGCCGCCAGTCAACCGAGAAATGGAATAAAATCGATTTTTGTTCGAACACTTCTTTTCTTCTTTTGATTGAATTACATTTGGCCTTTTCTCGCGTTTCTTAAAATAATGTTTTAAAGGTTTGTTTAGGCGAAACAACAGCTTTTAAATGTTTTTCTCTTTCTCCTCAACTGCTTTATTTATTAAATTATTTATTTATTCATTTATTTATTTATTCATTTATTTATTTATTCATTTATTTATTTATTATTTAGTCCATGGAAGATAATAGGCAGTAAACAGAATAATTTTTTTTAATGGGGATATACAGAAAGACACTTTATTTAGATAAAAAAATTTACTATTTATCGGCAATTTATCTTACGAAACTCTTTACTGAAATTCTACTTATTGGATATAATTAAAACATAAGGTGTTTGCGAGTAATTTTTAAAATAAGGTGTCTTTTGAAAAATGGAGATTATCGAAAAATTTTTAGTTTTTAAAAGTAATTTAAAACATATGCCATCAATGTCTTTCTTTTCAAAACAGTTTTAGTTTTTAATATTAGTTAATAATTTTTAGCCTGATTCGATAAAAATGATTTGATATCGTAATTCTTAATTATTTTATGCCTTCTAGATGAAGTTTCTTACACGATTTTCAAATGAACAGCATTTAAATGTTTGTCATGATTGTTGATAATGACCGGCAACGTCCATCACATTTTAAGAAATAAAAGTTCAGAAAGCTCAATTAATCAAATAACA